AACGGCATTGTACCAATTTACCAATTAAAGGAACTATAAAAGGAGTGATAGCGCCCAACGAAAGAATGAAACCTGAAGTTTTGTATATTGCTATAGCAGGACTTGCTGGAACAATAGCGGCTAGAAATCGTATGTTGTGTGAAGCCATTGATATTCTTGTCAATATCAAAGACTCATTTTAAAAATATTTTAGGAAATATTCTATTTCGGATCGCCAGTCCATTATTGTTCACCGTCGCAGCTTCGTATTACTTTATCCCTCAGACAACGCGCAATATCGCAGCCAAAATCCAGGAACATGAAAATGTTGCTAAAATATACGAGTCTGTATCAAATACAGCAAAAGAGTCAAGATCTAAAGCTAATTCGGCCATTACCGATTTGAAGGGCAATCAATCAAAGAAAAAAACTGATTAATTGTAGAATTTCCATTAGCAAATACACGACTGAACTGATTTCTGGTGTTGTGGATATCCTTATTTATTTCAATTATTACGAAATCATATAATCCACAATTTTATTTTGTGCTTAGTAGCTACATTGCATTAAGTTTTTTATTTGATTCCTAATATCAATTTAAATAGGATAAGATTCGGATGTAATGTTTCTAGTTGTTAGTTATTATATGATAGTAAAACTTAAATTACGAGAAAGATGAAATCTATTTGTGATTCAAGGTGTGGTTTACAATTTTCTGGATTTTAAATCTAAAGATGCACAAAATTACATAGTAAACTAGTGATGAGTTAAAAAAACAATTTTTATTATTTTCTATATTTTCTTTTTTCAATTTTCATCCAAATTACAATCATACATCTTCTTCAATTTTGGCTTTTTTCATTGGAGGGTTGTTAGATCCTGACGCTCCTTGAGGTGTCGTACCTTCCTCGACTACTTCGGTAGAACCGGATGAGGACTGCCCTATTGATTCCACTTTTACACTATCCACCTGCATTTCTGCAGGATCTAAAAAAAAATTTTTTAAATGAGTAAAAGAAACGAATATTTTCAATAGCTTCAATAAAGACACACCATTATCGGATGGTTTGGCGGTCGATTCCTGAGTTGTTTTCCCCTGTTCCTCGGTATTTTCTTCTTCTCTGGCACGTTTTCGTACTGCAGACACCTCTGGAACGACTGTTTGTTTTACTTCTGTTACTGCGGATTCTTCTCTTTTAACCGCTTCAGTAGTTCCAGAAGTAACTTGTGGTTGATTAGTTTGAGCTAATTTTTGTTCTTCAGCTGTTGTCGCAGATGTAGATTGATATGGTGTTGTGCGAGGTGACGTTGGCTGTGTTAATAGCCCACGATTCCTCTGTAATTTAACTGGTGGTCTCTCTCTTGGTGTATTTGATGTGTTTGATGTGGCAACGGTGGCAGTAGTAGGCGCAGGACTGTTAGTCGTTGCTGTAGTAGTTGTTATATTGGTCGCTGTTGAACTCGTCGTTGTTGCTGCACCGACCGTTCCATCACTTACATTCACTGATTGAGTAGCATCTGACTGATCAGAAGCGGGAGGATTAACTGGTGATTTGGGTATTTCTTTATCTCTTACATTACCAGCTGTTACGTTAGATGAATTTTCCGGTTGTGCAACATTCTCTAAATTTCCAGACTCTGATTGTTGTGAAACAGGCGTCTCCTTTACAACTTTAGGTGTTGGTTCTGAAATTTTTGGAGTTGGCGGCTTTACAACTTGGGGTAACTCTGGATGAATTTCAGGTGCCAAGGGAACAGATGGTGTCGCTTCTATTTGCATCTCGGTCGCAGAGTTCGCTTCAGATAAACTTTGACCGCTCTCAATCGATTTCTTTGTGTTATCAGATTGTAGTTGTTGAACTTGAGTTTTCAAGTC